ATAGTACCTAACTTAGATTTACAATATATGGAAAATTTCAAATCTTTAGTCCACACTATCAAAAATATAATCCCAATTTTTTAATAAAATAGTAACTCAAACATGAGTATCTCTTCTAAAAAAATCAAAAGCCCAATATAGGATATCTTGGATCTTTTCTAAATTATTTCAAAATCTCAAAATGCTTCCAACTTCCTATTCTTTAGCCTTAAGTGCTCAAAATTTTATCCAATCTCACTTGAAAATCTAACATCTCTACTTTCTTATCACTCGTTAAAAAATTCTAATCAAGAGTATTCATAGGAAATGTAATTTTCCTTGTTAGCTCAAGCTAATATAACAATATGAATTCATTGAAGAATTATAGGACTTGCATATGAATGCATTGATAGCTCCAATGGCATTAGGGGAAGTCACAACAGGAGCTTGTTAGATCCAACAACAATGGGAGTCCAAATAGGAGCTCACTACAGAAGGAATCAGTTGGATAGCTGGAAATGAAGTCATGGTGGGAGCTCACTAGAGAAAGTAATAATGAGAGCAGTGGCAAGGAAGTTATTAGTCGAGCTCATTTTAGAATACATCAATGAACTCATAATGTTTGAAGAATAAAAGCGATTAGTGTGATGCTAAGATTTGAAGCTCCCTTATGTACCAAAAAATGTAAAGAGTTGAGAAAACAAAAAGTATTTAGGATTTTATAATTGAGCAGACTTATGAACCAATGAGTTGATAATCATCAACTCAAACTTGGGTTACTTTAATATTCAAGCTGTAATTGCGCTCGAGCTGAAGCTTCCATTTTCATAAGCACGATTAGAAATCTTACTATTGAGTTAAGTTCTAGTTGATTCACATAACAACTTGGCACATTTAGACCCATATAGTCCTATAAATGATGATAATTCTTAAAAGTTTTTTCAGATTATAAATGCTTATAAATCTCTTGAATTAAATAAAGGAGAAACAAATTTCTATAACTGAGCCAATTATTCTTTTATATGTATGATCTCTTATTGTCCTACATACTATGAATGAAAGATGGGTTTTATCATCATAAATTATTCATCAAGAACATCATATAAATAATTTAGTCTATGAACAGTACTACATGTCTAAATAATCCTAATTGAGCATAAGTTAGGGTTAACTCAAGCTTGACTAGTTTCCCCAATGGCTTACTCCAACTCAAGTTCTTATGTTGGGCACAAGCTTTCCTCGCTAGAAAACTAGTGCGATAGAGCTTGACTTGTGAGCTCAAGCCAAAGTAATGATGATAATTTATTTGAGAAAGCATCAGTGGCTCTATTGGAGAAGTCACGATGAGAGCTCGCCCTATAGGAGAACACCATAGAAGTCATCAACTAGACATGTGATAGAGAATTCATTGTAGGAGATAATGGAGCAATGACGAGACCAAAGATAAAGAAGACACAATGGGAGCTCGTTGGATATGACATCAAGAAAGTCATGGCATTTGAAGAATAAAATGTGTCCATTTAAAATTGAGAATGGTAGTTATCTATTGAACCATATTCAGCAGGGGGTTAAAAATTGATATTTGGAATTCCTAATTAAGCTAGCTCACGAGCCAATAAGTTGAGCCTTATCAAGCTTAAATTCAAGCTAGTTTAATGTTTAAGCTATAATTTGAGCTCAAGTCAAAACTCATGACTCGATAAATTTGACTTGTGAGCTAGTTAGAGAGAAATTTTTAGCCAACTTGGTTCACTTACACCTCTATAATCCCATAAACAATAACATATCTTAAAACTTTTGTGTGATTATATTTGATCATGTATCTCTTGAATTAAATCCAAGAGCTACCTTTTGCTATAATTGAACTACCTATGCATTTATATGGATAGTCCCATAATATGCTACACATTATTAATGAATGATAAATTTATCTAAAGAGATTACTCCCCAATAACATCTTATTTTTAATTTAGTCTATAAACAAGACTAGTTGTGCAAACGAGTTTGAGTTGAGCTTTAGTTAAGGCTGACTTGTGCCCATGTCTTCTCAATGTTCAGCTAGAACTCATGCTCAAATCAAGCTCATTATGTGAACTCAAGCATGTATTTCCCAAAAATGATTATGCTAAAATTGAAGTAACGATGAGAATTTTTTTTAGTAGTTTGGGAGCTTATTTGAGATGGAATTGATGGGAGCTCGCTAGAGATAGTAGTGATGGCTTTAATGACATTGGTAGAAGTTGTGACTAAACTCGATGAGGAAAGGGCTAATAAGAGTCCTAGTGGGGGCTCACTTGAGAAGGTATCTATTGGGCAAGAAACATAGAAGTCATGGTGGGAGCTCACTACTAATGGTAATGAAGAGACCCATGGTGTCGAAGTCTCGGTAGGAGCACACTGGAGAATGTATTAAGGAAATTGAAGTGTTTGAAAAGAAAGGCAATTGTAAAACACGAATTCTAGAGACTCCCTTCAAAAGTAGATTAAGTAAATTAGTAAGAAAAAAATTGATATTTAATGTCTTAATCAAACCAATTGGCGGGACAACATGTTTGAACTTTAGCTTGTTTAATATACAAGCTATAATTAATTTGAGTTCGAGATCGACCTCATAGCTCATTAAACTCAACTCACAAGCTCATTAGCTACTCTAGTTTTACCTAGCACATGAGCTGGCTAGGCTCATTTACAATCTTAAACTAGAAGATAAGAATTTTGACATATTTTCGTAAAGTTTAATAAGGATTTTTTATTTTTATTTTGTTCATAAAGCATATGTTTACTTATAATGTTTCAATGTTTATTATTTTTTATTTTTGTTGAAATTAATAATGTTGTTTTAAAATACTAACAAAAGCCCCCTACATTGATTCCAAACAATTTCATAGGAATTCAAAAGCCCCCTACATTGACCCCTATGGAGATATTTATAAACAATTTTAAGTGAGGATATCTTAATCAAAATTTGATCTTGATGTGATTTAAAATCTTAAAAGAAAAATTAGATTACTGTAATATAAAAGTTAATTAATTAGTCATAATTTACACTCATTTCAAAACAAACCCATGAGTTATAAAATCATTATGATTAAATTTAAATCAAGATATCATACCTCAATTTTCATCTATATTTAGAGAGTTTAGATGTGGAATACTTTTGGAACTTGTATATATCATAAGTTGGAGAAATCTGCTCTATCATCTCTTAGATTCACATGAGACAATTTTTCTTTGATCAATGGCATTTTTATTCTCAAATAGATCATCCCCTCATTATAGTATGGATATAACTCCATGCAACTAAGGAAATTTCCCTAGGCTAAATGTTAAACCTTACAACTTCCAACAAAATATCAGTACTATCCTTTTTTCCATTAGCATTGAAACTGAATTCCAAGCTTCAAACAGGAACTTGATACAGATTGTTAGATATAATTTTTAACATAATGATTAAAGAGTAACTTTAACAATAATAATCACGATCTTCATTTTTTAAGCATGTAATTGCATATGGTGAAATATATGGGATGCAGCTCATCTTCGTCTGTTCATTGAGATTTTGGGCTATAAACCAAGAGGTATGAGTTCGAGATTTGCGTATTTGTTGTGTGTGTGAGTTTTCCTTAATTGATCTAAATTTACCCCCCCCCCCCCTTTTCCCCCCCCCCCCCCTAAAAAAAAAAAAGATGGACAAATAGGTAAATATGCAACAATGAATTGCAATTTAATGATAACAGTAACATTATATACACCTATTATACTTTTTCTCTACCTGAAAAAAAATGTGCTCACAATAAAAAAAAAAATTGTACATGAAAAGGAGTTGATGATACTTCAGACTAGCATTCATGTCAACCAATTCAATTGTTTTATTAGCATTCCAATATGTAAACAGGTTTGGGTGAGACGCATAAATGCCTTTGAATAAAAATATCAAAACACTAAATGTTTTCAGGCCCCAATGAATAAAAGAGGTGCTACAATTTATTGTTATGGTTGGAACTGGACCAACTCGGTGGGTAGAAGCATCAACTAAAGCACGCCATATTTATTCCCTCCTCAATGCATGCATCGTCAAATTTACTGCTACCCAAGTTCTGATGGTTGATGCAGATGCCAACACTATTAAGTTTAGTACTAATCTCCTGTACTCTCTCTCTATTTATGATGAATGCATGGAACAAGATAAGAGGCTACCACCAAGACAAGGGCACACCTATTCTAAAAAAAAAAAGGCACACTTATTCTATGTCTATATTAATGATATTAATATGTTTGTTATTTTATTTTTATATATTAAAAAAATGCTTAACACAATACTTAAGAATCACCACCACCAACAACAAAATAGTTAGTAAAATACTCATTCATCTTAGCTCTTCACTTTTTATTTCCTTATTTAAATGTCGACATCCATGAAATTAACATATATTCAATGTATATAATATGTGCAAGTTATATCTGCAAGTTAGATATAAGAAAAGACTCTTGAGAAGATGTTCGGGCCAACGTTGTTAATTTAGAATTTATTATGTCCCATAGTTCATGAATTTATAGAAGTTAATGTTGTAGGTGTGCAGTGTTAATAATCACATGTGCATTAGTGAGGGGGATCGAACAATCAATAGTGATATATATGAGGTGACACAAAGAAAGCGGTAATTCCTTCTTCTCAACTCTTGATCACTTTTTTTTTGGTTTGATTATAATGGAAATAGCTCTGTGGGTGCTTAATTAGCATGGTTCTCCCTAGGCAGAGTCACCTCAATGTTATCAATCATCCTTGAAGAGGCAAAGGTGAGAGGCAACTTGATTTATTGGCAAGTGAAACCATTTGCAACAAGCTAAGTAGCTAGGGAGGCTCTGAATGGAGTGTAAGGGAGCAGGGACGGTAGAGTGAGTGGAAAAATATACGAAGCATTTAAGGTGAGTCTACATCTCTTCTTAAATGCGAGGCCTGTCCACCTTTTAATGGCTGGCATTCGGATGAATGCCATTTAATAACCTTATTTAGTGCCCACGCCTCCTCATGCATGGCTTTACCGTCCGTGGAGGTTGAGTTAGTTCTCTGGTCCTTTAATCATCTCTTCCTTCCTATAACTCATTTCCCTAAATTCCCTTCGTCTTCCATCATCCATCTTCCTCTCTTACTCATTCTTTCTCTATATATAGTTTAGAAAACTAAAAAATTATTGTAGAATGGTTGAGGAGCTTCTTCTACGAGCTAAGAGAGAGTTACCTTTCCTGAAAGAAAAGAAAATCATAAGTACTGGTACTACTCAAAAGCGACTGCTTCCTCCAAAAATCATGGATCACCCCGAACTCTCTTTAGGTCCCTCCATGTCTTCCTTCGCTGATAGCTCCTCTTCTGAATCTGAAGCAAACAATGGTAAGAAAAGGAAGCTTTCTAGCTGGGAGCTGACGGCCAGTACTCAAACAAACATAGATCTTCAGCTCAATAATACTCTCCCCTTGGATTGGGAGCAATGCCTTGACCTTCAAGTAAGGGCTCCTGCTGCTTCTCTTTCTTTAATTTAATAACCTTCACATTGTTGTTGTGGTTTCTTTCATCCTATATATGTATATGCTTAATTTCTTATTCATCCAATAAAAACCAAGTTTTTTTTTTTTTGTCATGGCAGTCTGGTAAGATGTACTGCATAAATAGAAAAACGCTGAAGAAAAGCTGGTTGAAGCCAAAGGAGCAGAAGCTTGACTTAGATCTTAACATATCAAATCTTCCGGACTCAGAAGACAAGAGGCCTAGCCCTTTTACCTTAGATGAGACAATAGAGCTGAGTGGATCTGACACTGGAGGCGGCATGGTTGCCATCGTTTGCCTCAACTGCTACCTGCTTGTCATGCTCTACCGTTCATCACCCGCATGTCCAAACTGCAAGTTCATGCACTCACTTCTTCCATCACCTGCGCCACAGAAGATAAAGGCTGTGAAGTCGCTTGAAACGCTAAGTCTTCTCCATTAGCTCACTAATTAATTAGATACTAAATATCAATCAATAGCTAGGAATCATTATAGAGAGTGGCTATTAATACTATGTAATCAAATCGCTAAGATGTATCATCCATGAATGCTCAATGCACTTCTTCTGCAATTAAATTTGCTGTTTTCTACTTTATCAGTGAAGTTGACATAAGAAAGAAAGAAGTAATGTGAAATGCCACCATTTGAGCACATTACATTCCATGTTACCAGTTCAACTACGGGATGAGGGACCCACTAACACTGTCATCTGATTGTCTGAGTCGCTATTACTCGATAGCTTAAATGTAGAGAGAAGGTCAGGTGAGGTCCAGAGGCATACATCTCTCTCCAATCCAGATGATGAAAGTAGAGAGCCTTTTGGAACTACTCCCTATGCTGATGCTATTTTGCTCTGTTGACATTTTCACTTCCAAACCACCCAAAGTTTAATTAACACCAAACAACGGTCTAATTCACTTGCTAGTGGGTGGTACTTTTCCTTTAATCCTTCATTAACTTAGAGATACCACACCATATTTCTCTAATCAAATTCAATTATCAGTTTTGGCTGGAACATCATTAGGCCATTTTTTTAAAAGGATCACCATAAATATTTAATTAAGACAAAGAAACTTAATTTATTTTTTCTTAAAAGAATCAAAATCATAAAATTGAATCGATTTTAGCATTTTGCAAAGAGAGTGTAAATTTATTATTATTGTTTATTTACTATGACAACTATTATTAATAGTTAATTTTAAATAATATTTTGTCTTGCTGCTATTATTATTATCTCATTATTAGTTATGAAGGGTGGGGGTAAAGATTTTCATTTGAGTTGAGCCGGAAACAAATGCATGTATTATAATTTTAGTGGTGATAGATATATATATATATATAAATGGTTTAGATTCTAATGGAAGGATTAAAAGATTAAATTTCCATTGCATTTGTTAATTTAGTTATAGTACTTATTTGTTCTTAAATTTTCACCTATCTATAAACATATATTATGTTATATTAAAATTTTAAAAACATTTTTAATTGTTTAATTATAAATAAATTTTATATAAAAATATTAAATTATCAAATAATAAGTATTATAATTATAAAATTATATTATGTTGTATCAAAAAATATAAAAATATAATAAATCATTCAGAACCAAATCCTACCCATTGGAATTGATACCTCTAGTGCAGTGGATGTGAAAGAAGTGAAAAGTTTGTGCACATACCAAGGACAATAACTGAAACACTGAAGGGCGTTTTTTTCAATGAATAGCAAAATGTAAGACGCGAGCAATGCATTAAAAAAATTTTGGCAGTAAAAGAACCTTCTAATATGTTAATCTTCTGCTTTATTAGTTATAACACACTAACATTTGTTTTTTTAAAAGAAGACAAAGATGATATTTTTCGCAAACATTAACAGTTTTCTTGGTATAATTACATTGATGTTTTAATTGTTTTATTTGATAAAAATCTCTTAGAAATATAATAGGCTATGCACTTATATGCATTTATACTAATATATAAGCTAAGGTTGTAAAAATCCAACCTGATATAAAACTAGAAGAAAAATAGGTTCAAAGTTTAATGGTTAGATAGGAGTTAAACTGGGTTGAATCAGATGATGAAATAAAAATTAAATTATTCAATTACAATGTAAATTATATAATAACTAAAAATTTTAAAAGTGAATATATAATTAGTTCAATTACAACTCTTGAACAATCTGGATTCAAGGGATATAAAGTGCGGTAAAAAGATTGATTAATCATTAAATATAAACATATAGTATCCATTTAGCTTTTTTAGTCCCACATAATAGGGGAGTTTGAGTTAGTTATCTTTGTATAGTATAAAGTTTACACAATCTATAATAAAGTATGTTATGTGAGATGACATGTATATATTAAGGTTAAATTGATCTTCATATCTTATAAAAATATTATAAAAATTTTAAAAAATTTAATAAATTAACTAAAACATATCATTTAAAATTTATTTAAAACAGAATTGGCTGGTTCAACACTTCAACCAAATCTGGATAGGTTTGACGGTTTTTAAGGTCAAACCACCTGTTTAAACTTGTTCAAGCTGATTAGATGCAATCACGATTTTCAAAAAAGACTGGATCAATAACTTCAAGGGCAAAGCCAGGGTGGGGGGAACTCCCACACTAGCCCCTTAATTTTTTTTGGATAATATTTTTTTACAAGTTTTTTGTATATAAGAAATTAAGAGCTACTCGTATTTAGCCATTAAGCGAGCTGTTGTTTCATATAGGACATGAGATCCTTCCTCTTTTGCCTCTATCTTCTGGCATAGGTTTCTCATTCATAGTGAATTATTATTTTTTATATTTTTCTCATTAAATGTATTTAGAAAAAAAACCCAAACAAGTAATAGCTATTTGGCATATAATTGCATCATTATCCTTTTATGTTTGTCATAACAAACTACATAGCGCAGCATGAGATGTGAGTCTCTCTCTCTCTCTCTCTCTCTCTCTCTCTCTCTCTCTCTCTCAATGTGCCTCTTTATGGGCTCCAAAAATTAGCGCCTCGGCCTCCCCTACTCTTGGGGGAGTTTTAACAGATTAAGTTCTTGGGTAAATTTTTTGAAGGCAGATTAGGTTTGTAGATAAGACATTACCCAGAGATTTCACCATCATTTTGTGAGGACTTCATGATATGAGCTCTAGTTTTCTATAGGTGCAAGCCTCTATAAATAATTACCTCTCCCGATAATGAGAGATAACTTTCGATTAAGGCTAGTCGTCAATCACATATGTAGAAATATGTTTTATCTGGCATATAATAGCAGCATGGGTTGATATTGTTGAAAATTTATTGTTTAACATTGGAGATTTACCACCTTACACCTAAAGCTAATGTTGGGAAAGGATGATAGATCCGATCAAGATCCCATGGTTCCTTCATCCTGGGTCATCATGGTCCCTGGTCAACTTAGTTAGAGGAGGTAGTCGACCCAACTTGATAGAAGGATCCTTATCAGAGGCCATGGGTTGCTTTGTTCAAGCGTAGCTCATAGACTTGGGGTGAATATTTATCTAACGAGATAAATTTAAGAATGAATCCTAATGATATTCTTTACCATACATTAGCTCTTTGTGAGTTGAAGTTATATTCGAATTTATCCACCTCAGTAAATTATTGTGGAGGGTGGATGGGTTTTGCTTTAAGTTTTTGAAGGGTTTATTTCAATTTTAAATATTTTGGATTTTGAGATTTTTAGAGTTTTGAATTTCACGGGCCTCTGGGAGGCATTTCAAAAGTTTGAAATTAACTCCTCTAGTTAAGATCTACAATCGACACAATGATCATCGGGATATTTATGGGCGTTTTCACATTATTGATTTAACATTATCGACTATGCTAACTTATATAGATGGATCAGGCTCGAATTTGGGTTTATTGTCTAACTTATGCAACAACCCTATACATCGCGTATGTGCCCATAACACACTTGTCGGGGTCCATACTAATGTATGATTGCATATATATATTTATTGTTTTTATGTGCATACACATTATAGTGCACATATGGGGGTATTTTTGGGGCATTTTGGTTGTGTGAACAACTATTTTTTTGAATGTATACATCATTCTATTTGAGAGCTTATTCACTCCTTGTATCCACTTGTATGCGGTGAAATTGCATTACATTATCGATTATTTGCTCGTTCCACATAAGTAGACTATCATACTATTTGTTGATTTCTGCATGTAGATTATTATGCACTAAGTAATCTCTTACTATCAATTATAGATGCTTGTATCTATTGTAGTTCTTTCACATTTTTTGACAGACAACATATTAAATATATAATATGCCTCATTTAGCGGCTCGTATGTATTTATATTTATTGTAGCTATTTGTCCTTTGGTTAATAGATGAAATTTTGCATATATAGTTGGTCTCCTACAACAACGCAGACATTTAAATTTATTTTCCTAGTGGTTGTTGATCGATCACCTTTTTCTTACAAGGGATATGCATATTTGTCTTCCCTTGGATGGCTATTGACTGTAGGAATATTACAACATTCTCTGACTGTTATTAATCACCACCCATAAGTATATTACTGTGTATAAAGGAACTTCATAAAGAATCTTTTTCCATCAGTAGTAGATATTTACATTCTTCGTGTGCTCCATTGGGTAAATTTGCAAGAGGCTATGTTTCTTGATTGATGTCGACTATATGAACATCCTAGCATTTACTACATGATGCATGCATATTCTTGTGGGGGGCACATACTCACCATACACACTACTATGTGTGTTTACAATAGTTTAAAATTTTCTCAGGTGAATTCGTGTTTACACTTGGGATTAAATGACATTGATTGCATGAGAATTGAATTTTTAGGGGAAATTCCAGAGGTCTTGGCCATCTCACCACGCTTAAAAAGCGTATATGGTAGGTGTTCGCAGACACCGTGATCGTAATCTTCAATCACACCATACCAAGAAAGGCATGTTTTGGTCTTCAGAGGAACCTATTTTAAAACATAATTTTTTCCCTGTCATGCTATGCGAGTGCTTAAGGGTACTTAAATTTATCCCCGCCACGCTAAGAAAAATGTGTATAGGGCTTATCTGCCTCACTGTAAACATTGTTGCAAGCTTTCTCCCACCGTGCAAATAAAAATGCATATGGGTGGTTGCTTGTCATGCCGCAAGCACCGAAAATGAGACTTTAGGTGATTTCTTGCCTCTTCATGAGCAATGCGATGAGCTTCCTCCAACTGTGCTAAGAAAAGCACGTATAAGTGGTTGCTTGCCACACAACAAGCGCCGAAGATGGGATTTTGGGGGTTTTTGAGTTTGAGAAATTATACCTTTGTAGCATAATGAAGATAATGTAACAAATAAAATGCTCTCTAAGTGCCAAAAATTACATAAAACCCTCTTTTGTGTCACATTTTCATACATCTCCCTCTTTTTTCAACATTCTCTTTTTTTTAATATGCTATTTATTTAAATCCACTTTCCTCTCTTTTTATAATTTTTTTAATTAATTATAAGTAACAAAAATTAATTATAATTATTTATTTATTAAAAATATTTAATTATAATTAAATTATTAATTA